GTCTCGAATAACATGAGACAACTGTTAGAAGCAAATATTGTGGTGACGTTAGGCTGTTCCAAAAATCTCGTTTCCACTGTCGGCACAGACTCTACAAAATCGAAAATATAAGGAATATCTATATCAAGGTAAATAATAACTAAACACTTAAAATGTAAATACAGGGATTGGACGGCATTTGTCAATGTTCATGTCGATAAGAACGCAAATTAGCGGGCTTCATGGAATATATGTATGTAACCAATTTTGCATTCATTCCAGCAAGAAAAAAAGCATGCCGTGAAACCCTTATTACATTCCTTAAATTGGTTTTATTGTACGCAAAATAGGAAAACAATCGTCCACTAGACATGAAAGTTATGATCAGTAAAGTTGCTCGTTAGAGTGGTTCCGATATCAAAAGCGTAATGGTTGTGAAGTTCCAGGAAAACATTTGGATTCGTATCTATGTGAGCAAATACAACAAAGGTTTGTCAATGAGATGATGTATGTACACGGGGTCAACGCTGTATATAAACTATCAACTCCATATATTGCTATAATATTGTCATGATTCGTAACGTATCATTTGTTAACCTTAAACGCGCAGATCGTTTTCCGCTAATGTTCGTCCTGCGTAGCTCTCTATCACACTTTTTTTAAGTACATACATTTTAACTTTTTATAAAAAGCTCGGTCAAAACAAATTGAATTACATATATATTAAATAGTTTATATGGGGCAAAGAAGTAATTCCAACAGTGTGGACAAGTTTAGGTTGTCAAATTTTCGGAGCGATACGCTCCTTTTTCAAGACACAGTGAAACAGAACAGTTACATGTACATATACATCATATTACAAGAAGATAAATTGATCTACTACAATTGAAAATATAGCTATTATATAAAACCAATAGTCCCCTCGGCTAAAGACAGCCGAAGGCAGCAATTAAGCTGAGAGCATCGCGGACAAGGAACTCTGATGTCGAGGACCTATTCTTGCGCAAGATGCACTATCATATAAAGTGAGTAAACGAGAGATATCAAAAACGTGGAACATGTGCAGGTGGAAATCTGGCCCGGTAAATGTGTTAAAAAGTTTATATATACAGATCATAGATATATATCACACAATTCCTTTAACTATCCTGCTCTTGACCAATTTTTTTTTAAGTACACTTCCGTGAATCAGATTGAAAAACTTACTTTTCCTCAATACACATGTATAAAATCAATTGGCAGTATATCCAAAGGCCATATATAAGAAATCCGGACAATACATGGCAATTATATATACTCTCATACTCAGTCATACGCACCCCTCCTTCAGTGCTGTCTTTGATATAGACACTTATACAGATGTATTTGTCATCCTACAGTTTATTACCTTTTTCCTAATTAACTTCTATTTAACGTACATTCCATATGAGCAAACCATATTTTTTAAATGTATTAGTAAATAGATTTTTACATATAAATTATGATATTTAAGTGTTCTTAGATGTGCCAAATAGTGGTACCTGAATGACATCCAATCTAAACTTTGAAATAAAATGTTGTGTCTTAAAATGTCAAACGAAGCCATGCTTACAAGAACCAATCGCTGTTCCTGTTCTATTTTACCGATTCATACGCATTGACTGATGGATTGGTTTTACGTCCGCTTCACTACCGAGTAATTCGGTTAATGTAGACGGTTTATAACTGAAAACTGAACAAACCTAACAGGGGCATAGCTGTCTAGGGCAACCGGGTACAGTTAACAGGCTAGCTCCTACCCTTATATTACAGTAACGAATGCCGTCGCCAATTTCTTCACTGTGAGGATATCTCTTTATTTCCTTAAATAAAATGGTAAACGTTAATATTTCCACAACATAAATATTCGAGTCCCTGAGGGCGTTAAATAACATGACAGCAAATTCAAATTGTGCCGGAAATTCTTGATTGATTTCCGACGGACATTTACCATCTGGCGGAAATGGATACCACAGACATTGTTACCTTTTTTCCGTATTTTTATTCCCAACAAGTGGTACGTACAATATTGTACCAAGTTTAAGATGTAACGGCACTTTTTATGGTTAAAACCCATGTTTAATTTGACCATTAATACCACGCATGTGTGTGTATTATTTTTAAAACAGACTAACGCTCTTCCAACAACATCCCCGTAAATATACCGGTACTAAAGCGAGTTGTGAGACTTCGTTACATTTGTCAAGTGAGGGTCGCATTTTGTATGTATTAAAAATTTGCTGGCGGGAAAACAAAAATCCATTTAACCTCTCAATCTACTTAAACATGTCAAGGTCACAGTCATAATGATCCGCTAAATCGACCGTAAATCTGTAAAACTGTCATTTCTTGTGTTGACGAGCGATGTCGATAGATTGGTGGATTTTATTGATTGAAATAAATATCTGGCATAAATGATGACGTTAGTGTGTATTGTTTATCGTCAGTCGATTAAATGGCGACTGAAAATAAAAATGTCTTCCCAAACATAACCAGGTTAAATACACAAAACACGACAACTGACCGATTGGGTCAGAAATGGTAACAATGCGCAGCTAGACATATTGGTATCACGTGACACAGGTTAGTGCGCGCAAGAGAGCAGCTTAATTTAAATAATTAGATTATCTAGGTCACATTGCTTAAGCGTATAGACACTGAGGTAGAGACGAACATGACTTGCATTTCCCTCTTTCTTGTTTCCCCTCCCCCTGTATTAAAATTGATATGTAGCCTTTTTCTGTCCTAGATTATTTTATTTCTGTATGAGTTTGTATATCACGTGATGTTGACGTATTGTGTGTAATATGTTTATATAGAAAAGATGCACTGAGTTGTAAGATTTTGTTTCTGATCCATTTGTCTGTGTACAATAAAACATGTTTAAATAAAATCAACAAGTTTCATTTGTCAAAAGTTTCAAAACGTGTTCTGTGAAAACATGTTTAGGCTACCATTCAGCAGCTAAACACGTACGACTTTATTAACTTAATCCTGTCCAAAACCTATTGGACTCCGACCAAAATAATCCCATATGTTTGGACTTTCAATGTTAATGTGCAAAAAACTTTGTTTGTTTCCCGATATAATTACATAATAGAATTATAACAGCCATAGTATTGTCGTAAATATAACAGCCATAGTATTGTCGTAAATAACAGCCATAGTATTGTCGTAAATATAACAGAAGTCATTAGGTAGTACCACGGACTTAGATAACAATCTAATTCCGTGGTAGTACACTAGACTGCACGGTATCAAAGTTTGTACTCAACCTTCTTGTTTCGTGTACATGTATGTTATATTAACAATGCAAATTGTATTTCTATATTGAAAACAAAATAATATGACTGGTTTGAAAACCGTTTTCTTCCATTTACAGAATAAAAATTGCAATTGAATTCACGCTGTACATAACATACAGATCTTATGATTAATTTTTATTTGTTATCTATACAAAAATGAATTTAAACCAAAATGAAGCCATATTGTAATGAAATTGATGTGAAATCTAGAGGATTTTAGATAAACTTCCTGTGATAAATGTAAACCTCTCCTTAAATCACCATGACAACACAGTATTCCGTTAGTTACGTAAGAGTAATATGTGTGACTTCATGGATTTAACGATTTAAAAAAAACAGAGGGTCTAATATATCGGAAATGTTCAAATTTCTTGAATTTTCAACATTTTCGAACATAATTCAGTACTGCATGACTAGAGAACTAAGGTGTGTTGTTTTACTTGGTGTTACAACTAGTATGTAGTACATTATAAACATGATTGATACCTGTACTATAGGCTGGTTATCAGCCCCTAAGTTTTAATGAAGAATTTCTCAACTGCATTTTACTACTAGCCTATCGCCCCTAGACTAGAATCAGACATCGAAGTGATCATAATAACAAGTTTTTTTTCTCTAAATAAATCAATATTCTAGAGAAGGGGACAGTTTTTAATTCCTAAGTATTGATATACCTACCTTGTCGAGGGATGATACAGGATCAGATTTTAATACAAATGTGAAAAAAACATTTCATTATGATATACATGTATATATATAATCTAACTCTACATTTCATAAGTATCAGAAAAAATCCATATCTTTGTTATCCTGTGTACTGTCACCACGACTGTGTTCTGAGAGACATGACTGTACTTATGTACATACACTAAACACACCCTAGACATAGTCAGTGTTCACAAACATTAACAATGGGAAAGAAGGGATTGTTTGCAAAATTATTTACAGACCTTATTTTGATTAAAATGTGTACCGAGGCGTTCAATTTTTGTCCTAGTTTAATGACAATGTGGTTTATGATTGATATTTTTTTCCCATATTATTATACACTTCATAACTAAGAAGACATTTGAGAATAGTCTATCATCATTGTGACACCCCGAATAGCTGAGTGGAGTATCATATACATCGATACACGCATGCTCGTTAAAATATTTTATAATATTTGATTTTCAATCGATTTCAGTGACGTTTTCCTTTTGTGAATATACTGAATACTAGTAAAATCTGACAGTTCCATATAAGTGTCATCTGGGGAGTATACAATCTGTTTACCATAGGCAGTAGTATTTGGAAGACTAATTAATGAGACGAGAATGATATTGAATATTAAAATCAATGTATTTTTTTCAATTTGTATACATTAAAACAAATCAATTTACCGTACATTCTGTGGTGATATGAAGATAATAGTATGCAGACGAGTGCTACGTCGTAAATGTTGCTGAAACTTTTTTGATACTACAGTACTTTCATCAGTAAACACATACACGCCTCTGAGGTTTACGTGTCTCAAATGATTCGCTAATCTTCAGATTGTTCTGGGTATCATGGAGGTCTGCTGACTAATACGGGAAACTTCACGACTGGAGTTATGTATAGTACAGGAAACGCTTCACCGCCGGGGTACTTCGTTTCTGAAGAGGATTAGTGTTGCATTTCTTTCTATTTCAATAAATGAGACAACAAAATATAGGCCATTTTTATATATATATATTTTTTATTACCAATACCATTTAAATATCATAAGTAATTGTTGATAAACAATTTTTCTACATAAAACGTTTACAAATTTTTACAGTCACTCTAGTGCCGAGCTCTCAGACTTAAACTTTCGTCAGGAAGTGTCCTCGCCTCAATGTAACCTTCACATTTGAAGCCTCCCTGTATATATATGTGGTACTGAGGTGAAGCTCATTCCAACCCTGATAAAGTCTTGTCCCGATTGAGTTTAAATAATGATTATTAATGTTAACTTACATATAGCTTATCTACTTATGTACATATTTCACAACATTAGTTTATATTCAGGAAAGGGTTTGTACATATTATATATAAACAAGTTTTGCAGAAAGTCGTCTCCAGAAATTATCTGATGTTCGGGACATCCATCGGTAGGCCATCGTCCAAATACTCAAGGACGGGAAGGTATATGGATCTGTAACGAAAATAATCATATGATACTGAAAACAGTCGATAATTGTGTTACTAACCTACACATTACACTTTTGTCTGGTAATAAAATGTGGTCAATTCAAGTAAAAGGTAACACAGAAACCAGCAGTGGGAAGTTCGTTACTGATATCGCTATTACACTCCGTAATGACCAGTCCCAATACCGACATTTCCACGACGAGTACATTTGGACATCAGGGGTTTTCTCAGATTTTACCGCGGTGGGCTTATTTGCGGACATTGATTGGCGTGGATAAGAGGTGATATGGATATGTTATACACAATCGACCTGGATAACTACATACTTTGGATGGACTGGTTTTGTAGGTGGCTTCTTGTGCGTCGTCTGTCCTTGTACTGGTGACGAAACAACTTCTGGTGTCACCTTCTTAACTTTCAATACCCTGCAATGCATTGTATTCAGGTTTCAAGTTCAATCATACTTTAAAAGGTAATGTTCAGTTAAATCAATTTTTAACTACTTATCAGTTAACTATGAATTTATTTCCCCACCAATGATACATCTTCGAATGTATCTAAAACATCTCGCTGATTTGCGTGAAAATTGAAGGGATTTGTAGAGATAATACAATTCCATAACAATCCACCCTTCTGATTGCTCTGCTACATATAGAACGAGCGTCATTTCCCCAATACGTTTTGCTGCTGATTTCAAATGTTGACATATGATTTGACATAATATCAAAATCGCCTTAATCTACAATAAGCATTGCGTACATATGACCTACAGTTTTATACACATATATCCGTGGGCGGACTAACTACCTAGCTATAGGACCAGACTATCATATCAGCCTATCTGTATCTGTATATGTACGTTGAAAGACCACTTCTGGCATATAATCAACGGAAGGGAAGAGCGCATGGAGGTTTTTAGTCCGAGTGGAGACGAGATTTTGAAAATCTCCACAGATTTCACAAGGACTTGTTCGCCCTATTGCCATAACGCTACCTCTCCTGTCGTGGCTGTGTCCATGCTTAAGCAATGTCGAGTTGGTACAATACATCACCGCTCCCTTGTACTTACATAGGACATTTATCCTTGGCTACCTCCAACACGACGGCCCGATCCAGTACCTTGGTGGGTAGAGATTAACAGACATGACCGCTCCCTTGTACTTACATATGACATTTATCCTTGACTACCTCCACCACGACGGCCCGCTCCAGTACCTTGGTGGGTACAGATTTACAGACATGACCGCTCCCTTGTACTTACATAGGACATTTATCCTTGGCTACCTCCACCACGACGACCCGCTCTAGTACCTTGGTGGGTAGAGATTAACAGACATGACCACTCCCTTGTACTTAAATAGGACATTTATCCTTGACTACCTCCAACACGACGGCCCGATCCAGTAACTTGATGGGTAGAGACTTACATATGACATTTATCCTTGATTACCTCCACCACGACGGCCTGATCCAGTACCTTGGTGGGTAGAGATTTACAGACATGACCGCTCCCTTGTACTTACATATGACATTTATCCTTGATTACCTCCACCACGACGGCCCGCTCCGGTACCTTGGTGGGTACAGATTTACAGACATGACCGTTCCCTTGTACTTACATAGGACATTTATCCTTGGCTACCTCCAACACGACGACCCGCTCTAGTACCTTGGTGGGTAGAGATTAACAGACATGACCGCTCCCTTGTACTTACATATGACACTTATCCTTGACTACCTCCACCACGACGGCCCGATCCAGTAACTTGATGGGTAGAGATTTACAGACATGACCGCTCCCTTGTACTTACATATGCCATTTATCCTTGACTACCTCCAACACGACGGCCCGATCCAGTACCTGGATGGGTACAGATTTACAGACATGACCGATCCCTTGTACTTACATATGACATTTACCCTTGGCTACCTCCACCACGACGGCCCGATCCAGTACCTGGGTGGGTACAGATTTACAGACATGACCGATCCCTTGTACTTACATATGACATTTACCCTTGGCTACCTCCACCACGACAGCCCGATCCAGTACCTTGGTGGGTACAGATTTACAGACATGACCGATCCCTTGTACTTACATATGACATTTACCCTTGACCACCTCCACCACGACGGCCCGCTCCGGTACCTTGGTGGGTAGAGATTTACAGACATGACCGCTCCCTTGTACTTACATATGACACTTATCCTTGACTACCTCCACCACGACGGCCCGATCCAGTAACTTGATGGGTAGAGATTTACAGACATGACCGCTCCCTTGTACTTACATATGACATTTATCCTTGACCACCTCCACCACGACGGCCCGCTCCGGTACCTTGGTGGGTAGAGATTTACAGACATGACCACTCCCTTGTACTTACATATGACATTTATCCTTGACCACCTCCACCACGACGGCCCGATCCAGTACCTTGGTGGGTAGAGATTTACAGATGACTGGTTTACCGCTCGGCTCCTTCTTTATTGCCTTAAAGCTTACACTAGGCCTCTTGATGACTCTGAGTACATAAATAAAACAAGGTATCTACAAGAGTAAAGATTGACACGCTAAGTAATATCTTTTCTCTCATTTTCGTGTGTGTAAGATTAATAGGATTAATAGAATCTTACATGGATGTGGTCCGTGGACTGGGAAATCACAAACCGATGGTAAGAGTTTAACTGTCTAAGACGCGGCTAGAGGCGCATGAATACAATTATGTTAATATTATATAAGGGTGATGAGCCCTGAACATAAAATCAGAAATCAATTAAAAGCATAACCTTAACAATATTTTTATTTTATAATCCAACAACTGTAATATATCAGTTAATATGTCGGAGTGACATCATAGCGCGTGACGGCTTCTCGGGCGAGACACATTTATGTCTCCACGGGCCAATTCCTATTTTTCACGGGCTGGTATGGGAGAAAGAGCTGTCCAGGGTAAGTAAGGGGTGTAAGATAGAGCTGTCCAGGGTAAGTAAGGGGTGTAAGATAGAGCTGTCCAGGGTAAGTAGGGGTGTAAGCTAGAGCTGTCCAGGGTAAGTAAGGGGTGTAAGCTAGAGCTGTCCAGGGTAAGTAAGGGGTGTAAGATAGAGCTGTCCAGGGTAAGTAAGGG